TTTTTTGTTTTTGGAATTGCTACTTTTGGCGGGTAAATGACGTCACAAACTTGGCGCCAAAAAATTAACAGTTAGCTATTGGTAATTGTATGCACTTATTCGATAGACGATATTGAGAGAGTGTTAAAACTGAAGATTGTTTCGAAATAGAACAATTCCTTGCGAAGATATCAGGACTCAAATTTCTAAAAATCGGCCATTTTCTTCCAATTTTAGCAACAAAATGGCTGATTTTTCGACCTTTGTAGTTTGTATCGCTATATTTTCGCGAAAAATGGTCGTCTTTAGAAACAGACTTCAGTTTTAAGATTCTCTGGGAAATTTAGTAGAAACAGGATGAAAATTCTGACAACGAAATATGAATGCCCCCCAACTTCGGTTCCAGAAACCAATGTGACACCAAAAAGATGCAGTCTGTTTTCATAGATATTGCCGTTCATGAAATGTTTATGTATTGTGGCAATACAAACCAATCACAGTTATGACCACTGCAGTCCAATGTCAAGCCTTAAATGCTATTAATTTAATAACCTAATTTCCAACCACTTTGAGACTGAGTTACTAAACAAAGCATATCACATATGATCTTGTATTAATGGCAATCAAATGAATGACGATGCACAATATCATAGCTGTTTTAATCAACATCACATCAAGTGTAAGTGTACTGTATAACAATTTATAACCAACTATAGTATAAATGCGTATTTAAATATATAAAAAATATATAGTTCTGATTTTGTAAAAATACTGAATAGACCTTACCGTTTACTCACTTTTCACCCAGTGGTCTCGTTTTTGTGTCAAATACTTACCCATGTTTTGTTATTACTCTGTTATTGAGCCTAAGAACAGCAACAAACAAATTCGTCCAGGAAAACATGGGAATATAATCTTTATCTGCTCCTGACATACTAAAATAAGTTAGGCCCTGTTCACATGATCCCGGGATAAACAACTGCCCCGCGACAAGTCATTGACCCGGGGTACTGATTCGTCTGTTCACATGAACAAAGCTAGCGCGGGTCATGGCTATAAATACATTACGCGGGAATCATAAATGTTTCCCGCCAACGTGAAACGGTGCAATATTGCTAAATAAAAAACATTCTGATAAACGCAAGTCGTATTTTATGTTATGATATTCACAAATAGATCGTAGTTGATTATCAGACGTAATAAAATGTCCTCAATTCATTGTTTCTGATTGACCAGATCAAATTCTTTGAGTAACATACTACACTTCTTGCATGGTTTCAAACATGATATTAGCGACAATTTTATTTTAATATTATTAGAATCATCACTTATAGATTTCTAATGATATCTTCAATCAAATAACAAGTTTTGTGGGGTCCAACGTGCTCTAAATGTAATTTTAGCTGCGATTTTGATCGTTTTACAAAAAAAATAATTATCCCGGGACAAAGTTGCCCCGGGGCAAAGTGTTCACATGAGGAAAAGTTGTCCCGGCTAGGCGAGTGTCCCAGTCTACAGAGGCGAGGCACTCGGGTCAATTCTTGTCCCGGGACAAGTCAAATATCATGTGAACAGCACTATTCTTTTACTAAGGAGCCGAGACAATTTTTGTCCCGCGACAATTGCTTGCCCCGAGACATAACGCTGTCCCGGGTTCATGTGAACAGGGCCTAAAGGTAATCCAAGTTTGTCATGCGTTACGTATCATACCGCTGAATATATTTCGAGGAAAATGAAAAAGAATCATAAATTTTCATTGTCGCTTCCACAACAAACGGCGTTCATACCATAGATATCTTATATACACTAGATAGTGCATCTAATTATTATTAAATTCAAAAATCGAAGCCGTGATTGCAGGGTTGTGATATTCCCATGAAATGAGAAGACTCGTATGTTTTCTATTTCTTAAACAGGGAACTTAAACATTAAGTTAAACCTATTCCAAATACATTTTCAAACTATTCAAATGATGAAAGTTATTGTTATTATGCGTTTATTAGCGAGTGAGAAACTCCAACATGGCCGCCATCTATTCAAATGGGAGTAACCGCTGGAATATTCTTGGCTTGAATTTTGCTAAAAGAAATGCGCTATCTGGTGTATATAAGATATCAATGGTTCATACATTGACAAGTAATTACAGGTATCTTGGTCTTTTGTCACAAAATCTGTTTTGTTATATACGATAAAATTTTGAAACGATCACCTTTAATTTATATACACTCTTGTTTTCAGGTCAAGGACTGTATTTTGAGAGTTTTTTGACAGTTTAGTGGTCAATATTTGCCTACTTTTATACAGACCTGGCTTGAACAGTGGCGTAACGCTCATTGGCTAGGGTTAGTTAAAAAAAATTGGGGCCCCGACAGTTAGGGACCCCATTAACCACGGCCTATCGTCCAGAAAATTAGAAAACATAAAATATGCAGGTTAAGAATCAATTGGGAAATGCAAATTAAAATCAATATACTAATTTAGTTGTTACATGTGTTGGAGACTGTTACAATTGTTGTTATAGACACGGGATTTTCCAGAACATTCAATATAAATATAATATCTCAGTCAAACAATGATAACAGTGAACAGAGCCCACATCAAATATGCCTAAGGGCCCCCTTCTCCTTCGTTACGCCCCTAGGCTTGAATTGGTTCTTATATATGACAATTTAGGCCCGTTTTATACGTCGATTTTTGGTCGCGTCGAATGCATTTAATGATAAACCTCATGCATTAAGCTTCATTATCTATTGTTTCAATTGCATTCGACGCGACCGAAATTCGACGTATAAACCGGCCTGAAGTCCGTCTTCCACTAGGCGGAATTTTACGCGAGGAGTGGAATTTCTCTTTGTTTTTTCCAATTAGTTCCACTTGAGAAATCACAAGATCAAGAAAAATTCCGGTCCGCGCGGAAAATTCCGCCTAGAGAAAAACCAGCTTAATTTCGTTAAGGCTTTTACAGTCACATTTTAACAAACTTATAGTCGCTTTCTAGGATAATTTGACATGAATTTCGTGCCTCAAGAAGACAGAATTGAACATATTTAGTTTGAAAGATATCAAAACCTAAAATACAAACAATTTGCTGACGCAGTTTGAAGTCCCCGAATTTTTTCATGGCAATGACAACCTACTATGTACTGAAACTGTATAGCTTATCGTAATGCAAAGCCCTAATAAGTATTGAAGGCGGAAGTGCGTCATGCGTTGAGAGCGAGAGTTGTATTGAGTGGCCCCAACTAAACATTTCAGATGTAATCGAACTTCAGCGCGCCATTGTACGTGAATTACTTGGCGTATGAGCAATTTTTTTTCATATTCAGAAAGATAAGGCTTGTGGCTATTGAATGACATGTCTTGCATGCCATGGGCAAGTGGAGAAAAAATAAGCAAGTACGGTACGAGTACGATAAAAAATGATAGCCAGAATCGCATACTTTTACCATTGAAAATTAACCACCTTCTTTGGGACTAAAGTTGACGAATTTCATATCAATAAATTACGCACATATTCATAATTATTACTAAGTAGGAATGAATCTTAGCTACAAGCTAGGACAACTTCGTGTTTAGTTGCTTTTTCTTTTGTTATGCATGCACTGCTTTAATTAGGTACAGAGGTGAAAATATGCAATTCTGACTATCATTTTTACCAGACTTGTACTTCCTTATTTTTTCTACACTTGGTATGGAATACATGTCATTCATACAGTAAATTTTGAGGGGTAGAAATTACTCCGAAATACGAGGGTAACTAAATGTCCACAGAACGCCCCGTTTTTTGAGGGAAAATCTTAAAGGGGTAAAAATTACCCCTGGTGGGTAATTCGTAAATGGGGTAAAAATTACCCCATTTTAAGAGGGCGTTTGTTTGTCCACAAGCTATACCCCAATTTGGGGTGAAACATTTTTCACATTTGGGTGCATTAGAACTAGAAAACATGGTATATATAAATTAACTAAATAAATTTAGTTATGTACACAAATTAAAGATACTTAACTATAACAATAACTGTTTTCAATATCAAACCGCAATGTATGTGAGAATATGACCGCGTGGAAATTAACAATCTACAGTTGCTAAACTATTTAGCTTTTGCACAATTTTTTGTAAAGTGATCCTATTCGCCGTTGATGAGCATCCAGGCCCAAGTAGAACATTGTCTATAAAACCAAAAAGGTTTTGGTATTCTTTTGGGTATATTAAACACGTTGTAACATTGATGCATTGCGAAAAGGACGCTTTCTAAGGGAAAACTTGATCCATCCAAGAGTGTCTGCCCTTCGATGGCAAGGGCTAAACGATCAATTTTTACGACGCTCTCTGTTACTCCTATAATGGTGGGGAATTTTGCTGGTCCAACTTCCTCATCAAAATCATGATCTTCCTATAATAGTTAATTTAGAGAATACAATTATATGCGTTTGTTTTCAAATAAAAATGCTGTAAGTTTACACAACACCCAGTTTTTGGAACATGCTCGGATGACGTTGACGACTCTTATATTACCGTATACCTATTTGTTCATTCAGTCAGTATGTAAACAGATACCAGTAATCCAAGAATGGATAAAAATGACATGGATTGTGAGGGTTTCTCGTCACTCTAATGACTGCAATCAGGCCCTCAATACACCATGTACAACAAAGGCAAAACGGTATACTAACCGACAATAATTTGATTAATTCATAATCTTGCTTTCCCGTTTTTTTCTCTAGTAACTTAGGAAGCACCATCAACGCAAACGTATTTTCATATGCTATAAAACAGAAAGAAGTCGGTGTTATACATATACATACCGTATACAATGGTATATTAAGAACATGTTGCTTTGCAACCTATGTCATGCACGATGAATCAAAACCACCTGGGAAGTTTATTCCATTCCGATTATTCTGTAATTTATAAATGCTATTTGTCGACTCGCTTGCAATTTACTTGAGCAATTTGCTAATCAATATAGCGTATATATAAACATACCTTGAGTCTTTCCTGCCTCCTGCGAAATTGCCCCTTGAAGATCATGTAATGCATTTTTAAGGAAAGGGTTCTTCCGTTGAACGTTTTCGCAGTATTTCACAATTGCACTTTGGAGAGAGAATAATTTATCCTTCATTTCTTAATTATTTGCAGCATTGTCTTAAAAAATTCTGCTAAATTCATGACGTATCTACAAGTCCATAGCAAGAGTGGCCAGCCCCATGTGATTGCGGGCTGCTCGTACAGCGTGCCAAAATGGCATCTGTTGTCACAATAATTATTGAACCAAATTGCCTAAATTCATCCGTAGGAAATACGCATCTCTACTTAATATTGATGTCGGGACTCCATTGGAAATCGCCCAGCAAAAATCCGCCAAAACCATGATTTTTTTTTTCCGACGTACCTACCCTAATTTTTTCACGATTTGAAATCGGAACCACAGTTTTTTTAGACCCAATGAGGAAAACTACGCTGTATGTAGCTGAGGTCAGACTGTTAGCACCCTCGGTAAATCCACTGTAAATGAGCGATGGCATTCGAGTCACAACGTACAAATACCATAATTAAAGATTCATTTGTACAAAATTGCCCATAAATTTGTTGCTTTTAGACCAGTAAACTATACGTAGGTATAAAAACGCATGACTCGGAAGTAGTCTTAGGTATGTCTTGACTCTCAAGTCTGTACCAGATCAGGTACGCGGCAAAAGTTGTCGGAGTACCAGTCGGGTACGGCTAAACATATTGAATTATCGCACCCTGCTACATACACACTCATTCACGATAAGGATTTTGTCATTGTAATTGAATGATTCAAGACATCACTCACAATTTTTGTAGATTTGTACAATTAACGGTACGATCTTTTTCACATAGCCGTTCGTCTGTCTTTGTTCGTACTTGGTATATAAAATGTCGTATAAAATGTCCCTTTGGCGATTTCAATCTTTAAATAATCCAATTCCCAATTCAGATATCAACGACTAAGACGTCTTCGAAGAGTTAATACACTCCTATGTATTCCTTACAATCAGCTGTATTTATTAGTACAAGTTGTACAAATTAATGAGTTAAATTTCCGCATTCCATTGTGTTCATGCGACAATCAAATCACTTCTTGTTTTGGTTTTCGCCATGGCCTTCGGCAAAGCATTGTCTGCCGCGAGGCCCTGGGACAGAGAATGAAGTCCAAGAGGAGGTATTGTAACCCGAGGAGGGAATTTATGAGAATATGTGACTTTGATCATGTGTGAAGCGCTGGTTAGAAAAACTAGATGTTATACGGATCAACACCGGGGCCTTCAGCCTCGTTTTGATGCATACAGCCTGGTTTTGGAGCATATATAGGTAAGACGCTAGTTGTCTTAGTTAGCTAGGAAAGCCAGTGATTTTGGTAAATTTGGGGCGCTAATTTAAAAAATCGAAGTTATGCGCAGATATATTGGGTCATATACCTTCATTTTGATACACATATCCTTGATTCAGTGAAACGATTGGGAAGATCTGACTCAAATAAGCAAGAAAGCAAGTGATTTCCGTTCTTTTTGGTAAAAAAAAACAATACTGTTGCCCCATTGTATTGAGGTCATGTTATGCATGACATTACAAGCATGTACATTCAGATCACAAGCCTTGCATTATCCTTTTCAAAATTAACTCGTGTCTTCAATTTCCACATCCAAATCACCCTCGTAGTCATCATCGGAGGACGAACTGTTCTCACTCTCCGTGCCTGCGAGCAGAGCTTCGACCTTCTCGGGATAGCAAATGTCACTCCAGAAAACTTTTCCATCTCCGTCTCATCCATGCTCCCCGGGGCTCTAAATCTCAAACTCTATTAGCTTCTGATCGGCGTGTCGAAAGAAGTACGCGACATAATTAGCTGTCTTGATGTGATGATGAAGATTTGACTGTCATGGTGGCATCAGACTTAGGTCGATGATTTTCATCTCCTTGTTTAACTTGCTCCAAAATACTTTCTTCCTTGCTTCATTCAGTGAGAGGATATGTGGAAGCCGAACCAACTCGTTGCTTGCTGTGACCTCCGTACCCAAGGATGGAAATAGATCGATGAAGGCAGTTGTTCTTGGTCACAGCTTTCCACACGGCCTGCTTTTCCTTTCGAAAAAACTGGATACGTAATCGTTTCCGGAAAATACATGCATTCCCAAAAGAGTTTTGCTGTGACCAAGCGACAATCCAGTTGACGTCATCTCAATGATTTTCCTGTTCTTCCCGCTTCCATGGTCAATCAGAATCTGCGTGACCGAAAAATTGTGACCACTGAATAAGGTTATTATGTCTATATCACCAGCTGGCAACCGTGCCATTGCAGTTGAGCTATGCGGAAATTGGCTAGCACTCAAAAATGCAACGAGTTTCGTGTCCGCTTCTTCGTAGTCGTTGACCGTTAATTCTGGTAATGTAGCTACATCATCACGATGGATCTTCTAGCACACCGACTTGTTGGAAAAGTATACAACTTTGTCGCAAAAATGGCAAAATTAAACTTAAATTTCTCCCTTTTCCTTCGTTGAAATTTTTAAAACTTTGCTCATCTTTTAATATCGGCACAACAAGTGCAATATCCTTTTTCGAAAGATTCTACTGAATGGAAAAGTTTTAATATTGATTTTTGATGTGTTTGAAATTTCCTAAGAAACGTAATGATATAATTTTTTAAAATTGAAGAAAAAAAATATTATACCAGTATTATCTTTTATGCATAATCATATAGAGGGTAAAATTGCTCAAATGTAAACACCTAAAAATACAGTGAAAGTTGTCGATTCACTTTATTGAAAGTTTGTAAACAAAGTAAGAGTCGATAAATACAGATATTTGAATAAATACGTAACCCCATGCAGTATGTTGCGTTTGTGTACTCTTAGCCCCTGTAAGCAAACAGTTACAGCTAGTATTAATACAACATTTTCAACACATTCTATAAACGCAATAAAATCTGCCTACGCAAATTTGGCAATGGTCGTGTCCCATAGTTGAATTGCATCCAAACTCTTAAAATTTATACATTTTGAAACGGCCATACAATGCTAGCTCTAAATAAAACATTTGCTGCCGCAGCGAGCGAGCCTGAAGCGAGCGAGCAAGGCAGCAGATCCTAATTTTGTTTTGTGGGTCGAAATCAAAATTTTCCATTTGGCGCATTGCATGACGGTACCAGTGAATTTTAACCGTGGTGCAGCGCGGTCAGGCATAAGGCAAACAGACAATGTGATCATCTTTCATCTTTGGTCTTCTTTTATGGAAAGCCATAGCTGGCTTAAAGTGATCAAACTGCATTTTGTTGGGTGCTTTTAGCATTATACGGTCCATGGTGCTTTCGGCATTATACACGGTGCTTTCGTCACTATACGCGGTGGTTCCGGGCCGCATTATACGCGGTGGTTCCAGCATTATACGCGGTGCTTTCACCATTTATATACGCGTTGCTTTTGCAATATAATTAATATACGCAGTGGTTCGAGCACTATACGCGGTGCTTTTAACATTATACGCGATGCTAGCTTTCTTTCAACATTATTTCCATATTCTTTCCATGACATGT